TATGTTTTTTTTAATATGAGCTTCCAAAATTGAGCTGGGGTTTTTCTTAGGTTTAAAATCAGCCATCGTGTCTCATCCATGTCCCAACGTACCCATGATTAAAAATAAAAATAAAAAATAAAAAATAAAATTGGACAATTAAATTAATGTGTTTTTCAAATTGTGTCCGGGCGTATTTGTGTCCAAGACACGTTCTGACACAGACACTCCGCCTAAAATGGAGTGTCTATGCTTCATAGAAGTGAGGTATTGTCCACAAAATGTAGGTGGCTCAAACTAAGGGAGGAGTTTCTCGATGTACAACCTGTGATTAAACCTTTTCTTTCACCTTTAAGGGTGAGTCTGCTCAAACAATCTACCACGATGATAAAAAGGAAGAGAGATAGTGGGTCTCCCTGTCTAAAGCCTCTAGTAGCGTTAAATTTGCCTCTTGGTTTGCCATTCATCAAGATAGAAAAGCTTGTAGTGGAGCTGCAGACGTGTATCCATTTTCTCCATTTTTGTCCAAAACCTTTGTTTTTTAACATTCCATCCAGGAAGTCCCAATCCACCTTATCAAAGGCCTTTTCAATATAAAGCTTGATAACCACCTCATTCAGCTTTCTTGCCTTCCAGTCAACAATAAGCTCATTAGCCATGATAGAGCCATCCAAAATTTGTCCTTCAACAGATGATGATTGGTATTCAGAGATGGTGTGAGGTCAAACATATTTGAGTCTTTCAGATAAAACTCTAGCCAAAATTTTGTAGGCCCAGGGATGAGGCTTATACGTTGGTAATCATGGACTTGTTGGTCCATCTTACCATCACTCTTATTATAGAAAATAGAATTTTAAGGGCCTGCCTCCTCGTTCTCTCCCCTTTTAATGAAGAATGGATCTCAATGTTCAAGTCTGGGCAGTTTTCCATGGTTCTTCACTGTTGCTTGGTTGGCTGTTTTATTTTGAGGAGTCTCATTTATGCTTGGCTTTGGAGTTCAGCATTCATTTGTGACCTTCCATCTTATGCTGGGTTGGGTTTTGGTATTAGAGTTGCCAGCAAGATATCATTTATTGGCTTGTTGGATCTTTTAATTTTCGATTGGCTATGTTCAAGCCTTTTCAAGAATATTTGCATTAATCTTGTCCAATGGATACAATAAGTCTCTTTGATTGGGTTTCGGCTTTTAAGGTTATTAATTCTAAGGGACTTTGCAAAATACAAAAAGTTTATTTCTGAAAGTGAGTCTAATGAAGATGGTATTGTGCGATGATCTTTGGATGGTTTGATGGATTTTGTTTGCATCTTTTCGAGTTTTGGTACATTCCCAGGGGCTATTTCTCCATATTCATTTTTAGAGTGTTCTAAGGAAGATCAATGCTCGTCTTTGTTATTTTTGAGTCTCTTCATTAGTGATTTTTGGTTTCTAATGTTCTTTATTTTTCGATCAGATTGTATTGCTCCTCGCTGAAGTTGTCATTTTCTACTTCTATTTTTTCTTTTTCTTTCACTCCTTCAAGAGTTTTTATCCCGAACATTTTTTCTTTTCATCTATCAATGAAAAGTTGTTTCTTGACAGAATAAGAAAAAAGAAAAAGTATGAAGCTTCTAACAAAGATTGAATCCCTCATTTGAAAGCTAACCACAGATTCAAGGAGCCTTGGGTGCAGATTTCAAAGTGCAGTGTTAAAGCTGATACTGGTACAAAGGTTGGCAGAGGATACAATGTTACATTTTGCGATGATCATTGGCTTTTTTACTCCCTCTAAAAACATCTTTCCCAAGACTTCATAGGATGGCAAACTCAAAAAAAAAAATTCTTAGTCTACCAATACTGGAACGCCACGTCCGATTGTTGGGACCTAAACTTGAAGAGAAACATCCCCGATTTGGAAACTGAAGAGCGGGCATCTCTCATCAGCTTGCTCACAAATGTCAATTTTAAATAGTGTGATGATAGAAAAAGGTGGTCTCTTGAGAAAGATAGAATCTTCTCGGTTAGATCTATGACCAAAGGTCTTGTGGCAATTTTGAAGGCATTTGCAGGCTCTTTGCCAATATTATTTGGCATGCTAAAATTCTTAAAAAGGTAAAAGTTTCCTTTTGTGATTTTTTGCTCTGGACAAGCTAAGCACCCACACCAGAATTCAAAGAAGGTTTCCTAACTGGACCTTTATCTCCTAGTCGGTGTCATTTGTCATTTTCATGCCCGTTTTGCTTCCTCATGTTGGAGGTCCTTGCTTAATCTCTTCAATCTCTCGTGGGCCTTCCCCAAGTCTGGATTAGATGGGTTGCTTCGACTATTACATGGAACGTCCTTTGCTGGCCAGGCAAGAATTTTGTGGCCTAATGTTTTTTCTTAACATGAAACAACTTTGATGAAAAGATACAAAGTGTTCAAGGATAAACCTCCAATGGAGAAAAGCAAAAAACAACTGTGGGTAATAAAAAATGTTTCTTTTCTTTAAAAAAATGTGCTTGGCAAATCATATCACGTACGATCTCAAGATTGATGAATTATGATATTGCATTTCCATGCAACAGCAACTGAAAGTGAGAACTGTGGGTAAAAGTTTTTTTTTATAAGAAACTCAGATGGAATTAATAAACCAAAGCCCAAAAGAGCAAAAACAGGCTAATGGCGGAGGGAAGAGAGAACCCTCCCCAAAGATCTATACAATCAAAGCTTTCCAACATAGTGAGAACTGTGATGTAAAAGTTATGGGAATGACAGAAAAAATAAAATGGAAGCATACATTCAACATATCTTTATTTGAGTCCCATACGGGGTTTCCAACTAAAGAAAAAGAGAGAAATTCCCACTCAAAGAAATGTACAAACCTTGTCATCATCTTGTACCGATTTATGTACTCTTCCCCATAACCACGCCGCTCCATAAGCTGTATACGGCACCATAAAAGAAAGTTAGCACACATTATAACATAATAAAAAAATATTGTGAATCATCAGTTTTATATTTCTTTACAACATTGTTAAAATAGTGTTGTCATAAGTGACTAAGTGAATGCAAAATTCCAAGCTCCATTCAAGTCTTRTAACTTTTCTAGTTTTTTTAACTTCTTTGGCTTGGGATGGCTTCCCTCCCTCCTGTAATTTCATATGATCTATGAAATGAACCGTTTCTCATCAAAAAATAATGATAATAAGTGAGTGCAAAATTAAGTTGGTAGAGAAGCACAACAACATTAAACTGAAATCATATACCTTGAAAATATTAGCTTCCAAATCAGATTGTGAGCTACAATAATATAAAAACTGAGTCAGATGTATATCCATTCTCTTTGGAACAAGGGCTGAAAATGACACGGAGGGGATAAGATAGGAATATGTCTCACACATCTAGAAGGCTATTGTCTACAAGCAGCTTCTTGAGCTCCAATGCAATCTTAATAGCTACATGATTTGGAATCTGAAATTAAAGAGTTAGAATTAATATATAAATGACAATTCAAACCAACGTATGTGTAGAAAACACCAATACTATCTTTTCTGGCCAAGCAAAAGCTAGAAAGAAAAAAGACAATAAGTTTTTCTCTTAGTAACAAGGAACAAGACCTCTACTAAGACAGATTAAGCAAAGGGAAAGGCACAAAAGTGTGAAAGGGGTAAATAACGGAAATACAAAATATCATGATGTAAAACTTCTCCTACTTTTCTTTACTATAGCTACACTTCCCTTCTGTCCAATTGGAAGTGCCTTTTGTAACCCATCTATGGGCTTTTGTACTCCCTTATATGGGCTCCATGTAATTTCATATATCAATGAAATTGTTTCTTTAAAAAAAAACGGAAATACAAAATATAATATAAAATAAATACATCAATAAAGGGAGAAAATCTTTTACAGAGAAAGTTGTAAAAGGGAAAGGGAAAGAAGAACATGAGTTTTTGACAATCTTGGTGCCAACAAACCACTACACCAATAGGCCGGATGGTTTTACGACAAAATTTTTTATAAGAAATAGAACTTTCATTTACAAAAATGAAACAAATATAAAGGGCAAACAAAAACTAACCCAACGAAAAGAGGCCCACCTACCGAAAGAGGCTCCAATCTAGAAGCTTGAGAAAGTTTTTGGTAGTCTTTGGCAAGCTTAGTTTGCTGGAAATTATCAGGGGTAGTCTAGCTCAATCTTTTTTGATAAATTCTGTGTTTACAAAATTTGTAATCTAGTTTTCAATATCTCCATTGTATTCAAAAGAATTAAATACTGCAAATTAGATTCAAAAGAAACTTCCTTCAGCTTCGTTGCTTCCATCCTTTTGCGTCCTTTGTTAGAATAGTGGAGAAGATCTTGATCATCTCTTCTTTCACTGTTCAGTTTGGGAAGGAAGGGTAGTCATCTCTTTTTGGACAGTTCAAGATTGAGTGGGTTTTCGATTTAAAAGTAGAAGCCAACTTGGTTCAGTTGTTGTGCGGGACTATGCACTTCTCTTCTACAGCTCAGTTTTTATAGATTAATATGGTTAAAAGCTTCCTCTCGTAATTATGGTTTGAGCGGAACACAAGGCTTTTAAGGGCAAACGAAGATCTTTATTCGATTGTCTAAATTCAACCAAGTTTAAGGCCTCTCATTGGTGTTCTCTGGCGAATTCCTTTTCTCATTATTCCCCTTCTATTATTTTTAACAACTGGGGTGTTTTCATTAGTCCAGAGTAGTTCTCGTATTTTTCAGATATTTCCTTGTTCGTTATGTCTTTTATGTCTTTTCTTTTCTTTTCATTTTGTATTTTCACTCTTTCGAGTATGTATCCTTGAGAAATTTTGTTCCTTTTCATTTCATCAATGAAAAGTTCGCATTTTGTTCCAAAAAAAAAAAAATATCTCCATGGTATTCATAAGTTGGAATCGTGTGCGCATTGGGTTCTTCAGCTAGTTGCTTTATGGTCACAATGCTTTCAGGTTCTAGTCTCTTTGGTTCTCGCAGAAGGTGTCCAGTTCATTATGTCAATGGGTAGTGTTAGCAATCTATTTTGCTGAAATCTTTATGTCAATGGGGAGTGTTAGCAATCTACGAAATAGGAGCTTCTAAACTTTCTCTTACAGCTTCAAAAATAGGGCTCCAATCTAAACCTTAAAAAAAAGGCATGCAGCAAGCCGATAGGGTCGAATCGGTAGCATTCTTGTTTCTACCCCCTGCAAAATTATGGATGTAGTTTGGTTGGCAATCCCATCACTAATGGAACGTTCATTACTCTCCTCCTCTCGACATCGTCAAACCATCATTAATGGAACATTCATTACTCTCCTCCTTAAAAGGAAGTTGGCCCTCAAGCTTGTTGATTATCGATCCGTCAATCTCACCACTACAGTTTACAAAGAGGTAGCTGAAGGTCTTTACCAGGAGACTAAAAGTAATGTTTGTTGAGATATCCATACATGAATTAAATTTACTCAACCAATCAGCTTAAACATTTTGGTTGAATCAGAATGGTGGTTTATTCATCCTTAAGATGGTATCAGAGCCCAAACGCTCAAATGAGCATCTGGTCCAAACATGACAAAAATCTCTTCTTCCTAAACTAAAAGAGAAGTTCCCAGGCAAATATAACAGGGCTACCATATCTATCATTTTCCTATCGAGCAAAGGATGGCGAAACCCAAGAGAAAAAGAAAGAGAGGAAAAGCTCCCTAAAGTGGGAAGGATAGAAGCTACCGAATGATTTTTCATAAAAGACAAGTGATATAAACAAGGAAAAACAGAGTAGAGGTATCTATCCCCCAACCACTTGTCCTCCAATAATAAGTATCCACTCCATCACCCACCAAAAACTAGACAAAATGTGAGACCGAGCGGAGCCCATCAGAAATAGCTTTCCGCGGGTAACTAGTCGTCTTTTGGACCCCATCCGAGATCCACTCAAAAGGAATAAGGCCCATATTTACTCACAATAACCTTATGTCAAGGGATATTAGTCTCCCGAGGGAAGCTCCATAACCATTTAGCCAACAAGGCCTCATTGCACGCCCTTAAATTACCTATTTATACCCAAAGTCTTTCTTCTACAGAGCTTTATCTCGGAAATCCCTTCCAACTTTTCATCTAACAACAACAACAAACCGAATCCAATCAACCATATCCACATACTTTCAAACTTAACATTCCTCAGCACGGTTAGACAGCTCTTCGAGTTTTGGAGCTTATTCGAGCTCAGTAGTCCCACTTCGCTAACATTATCAAAATCATAGTGCGCTAGAGCATTAACATGACAAGAAATATTGGCAATTCTAGGGTCGGGGAAGAATCACTTCCACAACAGAGCAGTGAGTACAATAGTAGTAGTAGTAGCAGCAGCAGCAGCAAGATTTTGTACCTTGGTAACTGTCAACATCCTGCTGAGCAAAAACCGCGACAAGACATAGTAGTGATCCGCATTATCACCCAACCACACCTTGACCTGCCAGAACAACCCAAGCGACCGCATAAAATCAACAATGAATAGAAATTCCAAAAAAATGAAACCAATGACGCAGAATTCCTCGGTAAGTCTGTAACAAGAAGTCAAAGGGAAGATGAAACTAAACCTGCGCGTAAGAACAAGAGCGAATTGAGTTAATTCCTGCATTCGCGCCCTCTGTCTATCCTGAGCAAAAGAATCATAGAATTGAATGGAAAAAGATTTACCTTGACAAAATCATACTTGGAGGAGGTGTTGCGAGAGGGCAATCTGGCAACCGGGAAAGTGGAGCAATCTTTGAGATTGTCATTGGATTGAGAGGAGCTACCGGCGTCGGCGATTGCGTCGTCGTCGTCGTCGTCGTCGCCGGTGCAGTTGATGCCGGCGTTTGGCATTGACACAGAAACCGCCCTCCCCTTGTCCTTCACTTTCCTCATTTTTGCCGACTGAATAGTGAATCTTCCTATTCCAGTGCCAAATCCCTGACTCGAAACTCGGGCTACCAATACGATTTTCCTGGTTATTGTTTTGTTATTGTTAGGGGCTGGCAACGGGTCGGACCGATTCTGGCCAAAACTGAAGACCGAACCGAACCCCTCGCCAGAGGCTAGCCGTAGGACTGTTTTATGTGGATTTATATGGAAATATATATGCAAGACAACTTTTTGAGGCTTTTTGCTGAGTATTTGGTTGATATTCTCCTTAGAAACGCCACCATTCTTGTAATTTTCTCTCACTCCAAAAGAAAATCTTCAAATTTTTTCATATTCTTAAAATAACGCAAGACACTGACAATGAAAATGAAAAGCAATGGTGCTCTAGGGATTTGGAACTGCACTGCTGGAGGACTGAGGAGTAGTGAATAAATAAGTGGGAAAGGAATAGAAGGGCAAGAGAAAGAGGAGATAAAAGACCAAATGTCCTTTTTGATTTAATATAGTATATATGTAGATTTAATAAATTATTTATTTATTTTATTATATACTTAATTATAATTTAGCATCGTAAGAGTGTAGATTTGGTTTGGTAATTATGGTAGATTTAGTTAGTTAGTTTATAGTCATATTGAGTTTAATTAAATTAAAAGAAATAATTACAATAAATTTAGATTTAATTAATGTAGACTAATAAATTACATATAGTTATAATTATTTAAATGAAATTAATAATTAAGACTTGCTTTTTGTTTAATTAATTTAATATACATGGAGGTTAGGTAATTGATTAATTTAGCTACTACTTAATTGCAAGTTAGCATGATTAATTAGTGTAGATTTGTTTTGCAAATTAGTGTAGATCTAATTAGTTAATTAAATGGGAAAGCCGAAAGCTAAGATCCGAAGAGGATAAAATCAAGGTTGATATCGACCAATCTATCATCATCGGAACTGACAAACAACTTGATATGAGCCTTCTGGACAAACTTCACTTCATCTCTAATGCGATGCAAAAAAATACTCTGAAGAATGCCTAGAATGTTGATAACAATTATTCAGTGGAACACATTGGCCACAATATCTTCTTGTTCCATTTCACCAGACATAAAATCGAATTCCAAAAACACGACTTTGGTTTTTTGATAAATCCCTCCTTTTTGAGAAACCTTCACCCCTGGTTGAACCCTCGAGGATCTACCGTTCAATAAGGTAACCTCTTGGATTCACTTGTATGATCTATCTACGACGTGTATGAACAAAACAATGGCAATAATGCTAGGAAACAATATTGGAAACTTCGAAAAAGTGGTCTGTGATGCTGATGGATTCTGCTGGGATACAAGTCTTCGTGTGAGAATCACTTTTTGATATTGCAAAACCTCTTCGACAAGGAGTCAAGTTAAATCTCGATGGTCCAATGGAGGGTTGTTGGATCCCCATTCAATACGATAGACTCCCAAACTTCTATTACCATTGTGGTAAGGCCGATCATGTTCTCAAAGACTCTGACCTTTTGTTTCATGATGCAGGTACTTCTACTGGGAAGAAGCATCAGTATGGCCCATGGCTTTGCTTTCGGGGCTCTACGAAACCCAACCAAATTTCACCCCAAGTCCAAGGCATGCTAATCAGCAGACCTCTACTAAACCTGATCCATCGCCGGTTGATACTGAACAGTGAACATCCAAATACAACATGATCGTTTTTCAAATATTAACTAGAAACTTATCCAATCTCATTGAGAACTACATAGAAAATTTTTTAACACAGAGAAAAAATATAAGTAGTTTTCGCTGTGGTACAAGTTCGACTTCATTCACCAGTCACATAAATCTATAATGACTGAGTGCAGGTTTAGAAATGTTTTTTGCATACCAAAATCATTTTTACTGTTCTCAAAATTACTTGTATTTCATTGTCAAACACTAAGATATGTTTTAAAAGTGATTTTGACATGACTAAAATCACTTTTGTCATTGTTAATCACTTCAAAACATGCCCTGAATGTTCCACAGATCCAAACATTGGTTTTGTACAGAAAAGAAACATATATAGGAATACCAAAGAAGAGACTCAAGATGATTTGGATCACCCTTGTAAAAGCAAAACTAGGAAGACTTTAGCCAAATCTGAGTCAAATAATCACCGTGGTCATGAACCGATGGTTGAGTACTGCTTCGGCGAGTGGCCTTTGTCGAAATTCTGGATTCAACATTGCCTGCAAGAGTTTTTTTTTTTTTTTGGGTTGTTATGTTAAAATAATATGAAGAACTAGCATAACTTTTAAAGTTTGATCCTATAAAACTCACTAGACTTTCGGTAGCTAAACATTTAAATGTTGTGTTTTATTACTCTAAACAATGTAGAAGAAAGAATCCTCGCAGTTAATTTTCTATGGAGCATTTAACAAAATTTAAAATTGTTCCGAAACTTTACAAATGACTTACTATAGTAGCCTTTAATACTTATCCATCATATATATTTACTGATCAAGTAAATGAATAACAAATCCTACATAAGTTAAAATTTCTATTAAATAATTTGTAGAAGACTAATGCAATGACTACAATGATTTTCATTACAAAGTTCATTACTTCATGGTCTAAAATAGAATGTTTGAAGTTTAAGGACCAAGATAAAATAAGCATATAAGTTTTGAAACCAATTTTGACATTAGGTCAAAATTGTAAAATAAGCATATAAGTTTAGGGGCCAAAATAGGATTTAAGCCTAATTGAAAATAATTAAACAAGAAATTCTAATACAATGTTGACAAGGTATGATGTATTATTAGGAAAAGGAAGAAACAAAGAAGCTCTGTGCAAGCAAGCTGGTGAGAAGTCTATAAAAGACCAAAATCTCATGGAATCTATCAGTTAGATCTATGACAGTGCTTCAAAGACAAACATTAGAATGGGACTACTGTTTATCAATAAGGCCTTTTCAGTGCAATGTAAATGTACAAAGATAAATAACCTGAAGTAACTGCCAACCAGCACGATCATTGAGATCGAGAAACTTGACTGTTTCTACGAACCGATCATCTGCTAAACAATATCTTTCAAAAAGCAAAGCATTTATATATTTTAGTGCAAATAAAAAAAATAAAGGACCTGTAGTAAAAGTGAACTGTAAAATAATGTAAATGCTAGAGTCTTAGGGGAAACGAATTACAATATTCATTTGGATGCAGTTGTAAAGTTCTTGTTGGAATTCTTTTGTCTCAGAAGGTTGAAATGTAGTTTTGTAAAGCTCTGTTATTTTACATTTTAAAAAGCTGAAGTCTCCAAGTCAGAAGAAGAAGGAGAAGAATAGAAGCACCAAAGGAACTAAAGTCAAGTCATCAGGAGGAGGTTGAGGTGGAGAAACTGGAACTTGAAAAGAAAATTAATTACAAGTTTATTTTAGTTAATTAATTAGTATGGTTTTTAGATTAATAGTAAGGGTAATTTTATTAAGTCAGTTTATTTGCTAGTTTTATTTTCTTCCATTTTGTAAAGTTATCATTAGCTACGCTTAGGGTATATTTGGAAGACTTCTTTCAGCAGTACAATTATTTGAATTTTCTTTTAAGGGAGATTTCTCTCTTCTTTGAGAAAAGAAAAAGGTTTATTTTAGTTAATTAACTAATACAGTTTCTAGATTAGTAGTTAATATAGTTCGATTAATTTGGTTAATTTGGTAGGATGGTTTTCTTCTTTTTGTATGACTATAAATAGCCACACTTGGGATAGTTTTTTCAGTAATATGTATTAAATTTTTTAAAATTTATTTTTCTCTCATATTGGGATGGATTCCTACAATTTTTTTGGATTCATTAAACTTAATGCATCAGTACTTCTCTAAGGCAACTAAAGTTTCCAAGAAAGGAGGAGGATAAATGGGATAATCTACAGCACCAGAGCAACGTAAGTCCCCAAGTTAGAAGAAGTTAGAGAAGCAACTAATTAAAGTCCCCAACTTAGAAGAAGAGATAGAATTTGGAATCCACTAACAAATATCAAACCACGATCAAAGTAATCCCTTTCCAAAAATTATAGAGGGACCAACGCCATTAAACCATGATAACTGAATTGTAAATATATGTGGAGTCTTACTCTCTCGTGGCTTCAAGATCAAGTCTGAAAGTGCTCTCCAGAAGCCTCTATACGTTCATAGAAAACAAGGATTAGGTACACAACTTCGTAGTATAAACTTTTCAAAGAGGGAATATTTGAATTTTTCATCAAGACAAATGAAAGAATACAAGCGGAAAAAAAAAAGGCCAGCCAGGAAAAGATCCTAATTAGAGAAACTGAAACTAAAAATTACAAAAAAGAGCTCCGCTCGTTAAAGGAGATCATCAGATAACAATGAAAAAAGAGTTTAGTAAAAACAGTTACTTGCAAGGAGAGGCTATCAACAACTCCAGCTTCACAAAATGGTACAAAAGCCAAATACGCAAAAAGGAGACCTGCTCCATATCTGCATTAGAAAAGAAGCGAAAATGGTACAATTGAGTTTGAAGCTTTGAACACAATCCACGCAGTGAACATCAATTACATATGTTGTACATGTCATCTGCTATTCCAAATGCTCTTTTCTCCATTGGAGTGTAGGCACCAGCAGCTGTAGCTCGTCTCCATAGCCCCTCAGCAAGCTGTCCAGGGCCCTCTTCTGGAAACGGATATCTTGCAATGAAATGATTCAAGAAACTTTCTAAGCTATATTGGATGTCAAAAATTTATGATTAACTAAACTGGTGGAAAGAAGATGTAATTCAAGATCCTTAAATGTTGAGAACACTGAACATTTTGAAGTATCTTAAATTAATAGGAAGGTGACTGGAACAGGAACGAATTTATGATAACTCAGCTGCTTATTATGAATGAAGAAGCTTGGCTTCCATGGATTATAAGTGACATTCTATTATTTTCAGCAAGCTTTACTCTTGCAATCATATCTTGTTATGCAATTTGAACGAGTTTTTCTTCTATTAAGCAGAAACAACCAAGAGATACACAAGGTTCTTTACTTTCGGAAAGGGTGGACTTAATATCCAAGATCAAGGATCAAGGATTTAATGGAGAAAACACCAGAATTAAGCATAGACCCACTTCCAAGAATCAGCAAGAAAGATATAAGGAGACATTATCGATCAAATTTATAAGGTTAATCCACTCCAAGACTTCTCTGTCACATAAGTTCCTGCAGAAACCAAGCCAAGGTCCCTAGAGGAGGAGGCATTAAACCAACAGAGACGGGATTCTTATTTATTTGAAAATAGCAAATAGAGTTTCAAGGAAAGGGTGGAAAGCGGAGAGTTATCATCCAAAAAATTGGTGTTCACACCATTTCTGACCACTTTTCTAATTCTGCTAGCTAGGGTGTTCTTAAGCTTAAAAATGCATCTTCAAGGGCCCCTCAGTGATTTAAGGCCAGGGTCATGGGGTGTGGGTTCACCAGTTACCTATGTCACTTCCCTACAATTTAGCTACAATCCTCCTCCACAAAGCTGATTTTTGTTATCAAATCTCCAAAACCATTTCACCAAGACGAAAAAGTTCCTTTGTTTTAGGTTTCCCAGGGCCAAACCACAAACAAAAATGTTGAGAATTCTGAAGATAAAATACAATATAACTGGCAGGAAATAAATGAATGATGAAGGGTAAAAGTTACCTCACATCCACAGAAAAAGCTAGATCACGAAGTCGTGGGATTAAGTAAGCAGCATCTTTTTCAACAATCGTACTGCGATCAAATGCAAAGAAATTTTATCACATGTGAGTCTGTGACTGTCAATAAGATAAATCAGAAATCTTTAGAAGCTAGCAAATAATCTGTGGTACTTCCGAGAGCTATACTTGAGTACTATAGAAGATGGTCCAAGACTTTGGTGTAATCTGTCATGGTCGTGCATATACGCAAGACCTCTCATTATGCCCTGAAACATCCTGACCACAAAATATCTCCTGCGCTTGGTCAGTTGTTCTTGTTCATAATGATTCCATGAGATTTGTTCTATGCTTTTGGAAATCCTTTCACTCATTATTTTTCCATAGTCTGCAGCGCTATATTTTCCATCATCACGGAATGCTAGCCACTGAGCAAGCAGAACAAGCACATTTCCATATCATAAGTGCAAAAGCATACCAAGTCCATATAATATTTAGATACCGAATATTGTGGTAACCTGCTCCCCAGTGTTTGTTTCAAACCCACCAACAAGTAGTACCAGATTCGTGCAGACACCTTTTGAACTACTCTGCAGAATATCCATATGAACCAAAAAAAAAAAAAAAAAAACATTTTGTAAAATTTGAAAGCTAACAGATTTCATTCAACTCCTAAAATAGTCAACATAGTGTAAGCATCAGCACTTATATGTCAAAAAATGTATGAAAGAGAACTGGAAATAAAATAAAACATCTGTTACTTGTAGAAATGCATGAGCATTTAGTTCATTTGCAGCCATCATATCAGCTTCAACACCACCAGCCCGCTTTCCAGGATACACCTTCATATTGAAATTAGTTTATTAAAAAAAAAAAACTATATCATGGCTGATTGAACAAACTGAATACATATTTTCTAAATATTAATCAAATAAATCGCAGCACAAAAGGGTTACATTATCAGTTACAAAAATATTTCGTCAATATTTCTATAAAACATTTACGTCAACTTGCTTCTACTTTTTCAGGATCTACTTTTTCATAATCTAGATGAAAGTAAAATAACCTCCAAACAATGAACGAAATACCATATACTGAGAATTCTGATTGGAGAAAGAAACTGGAGAATTTTCAAAGCTAAGCCTAGAGTTCAGCATTGGCTGAATGTGGTAGACAAAAGCTAGATTCAAAACATCCCAAAAGTGTTCGTTAGAAAATCAATTTTTTAACTATGTCTATACCCCATTAGTTATCAATTCAAATTGGGGTGCATTTTCGTAATTTTCTTGGGATGTCAAGGATTGAAGTTAGGGAGGTAAAGACTTTAAGAAGGGTAAATAAAGGTTACTCTGTTATCTTTTCTTGCGAGGACATTTGTACAAGTTCCTTCCTTGAAACTTATTCCTTGATACTTGTCAATATTTCAATAAAAATTTTGTTTCGGTTTCAAAGAAAAAAAAAGGATTCACCAATCTATTTTACGATAGTTTGAAACCATAATGAAGACAGATATCCACAAGAAACTAAAAGAATAAAAGCGAAGTATGTGCATGAGTATCACCTTAAAAATAATAGAAGTTCCTTTACGAGAACCCTGAGAAACTCTTCCTTCATAAAGCCTGCAGAAGAACTGCCATTGGTAGTATTGTAATGAGATGGATTAAGAAAATTGTTGACCTTATTCATACATTGAAGATTCCCGTAATCAGACCCTAGAACACAAATAAGAATCCAAGTCGCACCTGATCTTTACACTTCCTTCTCCTACATCTTGAACTCTCAGTTGCCCCAAATCTCCAGAAGAATATTCAACGTCTTCCCCTGATTGAAACCCTGAATAGCTGGTGGGAGTGGGAAATGTCACTTTTCAATTGATAGCCAGCCTAATACTGAAACTAAGTGGAGAATGATCAAAATATTAAAGTTCAAACTAAGTGGATTTATTTGAAGTGACACCACCTAACGAAGGAAGAAGGGATAGTAAATTGACAAGGGGGATGAAAAAAAATTCAAATTCAAAATATTTTCTCCTCACTCTTTCGAGAACTGAAACTGAAATTAACAGTAAGGAAAGCAAATAGCATTTCTTAACAACCATAGTGAATTTAAGCGGACTATCAGCCGATATACATACCTAATTGCTACCTGTCTACCAGTCCAACCATTTACTCACTAAAATTTCATTCATATGAAGAAAAGGCAGAACTGAACTCATAACACGAAGTCCAATTTCCTTCTCATCTACTAAGGAAGTGTATCGAACAACGTAATCAGATAAACCCGATTGATGGAAAGCAGGGAGGAGTAGAATGGTAGTAGGAGAATACCTGGTGACATTCATGAAGCCATAGCTTCCAATGAGGCGTCCGACCTCGAAGGAGTCTGAGTTGGTGATGAGACTCGCTCTCACTGCTAATCGTGTCGTCGGAGATGGAGTCCGGAGCAGTGAAATGGAACCACCATACGTTGGGAATTTGAAGAAGGGAGATGTAGTGGGTACGGAGATGGTTGAGAGGAGATCAAATTGTTTGAGGAGCATGCTTCGATTCGTCGTGCTCGTCTCCAGTCGACGAAAATGGCGCAAACTTTTACCCGCCCAACAAGATAAGAGGAAGACGGTTTCACGTTTCTCTACAGCTTCTTCTCCTTTTTTTCCTTTTTGATACAATATATGGTTTCGGATCATGGCATATTAATCATAGGTACGTTAATCACTTGAGTTATATCCGATTTGACCTATCGAACTTCAAAATTCTATATATATAGTAGAAATGACGGGAGTTCAAACACGGATTCTAGAGGAAGGTGAGGGAGATCTTGAACGCGAAAAAGGCTCATCCCTTTGTACATCCACTCTCGATAAGGATGTCATCTTCATTCTCGTGTTCATTAAAAAAATTTAATCATCCGTCTTCACCTCATACTTTGATCCAACAATCGAGATCCAAGTTAAAAATCATTATTTGGAGCGAGGATATTCACGAGAAAAACTACCAGTTTTATAATTAATTTTAATTATTTGTTAATTTTAAAAATAAAAAAGTGTAATAAATAAATATTAATTGTTTTTTCGAATTATTATTTACTACACATAATTAGTTTTAAAAAATATTTTATATTTTATTCACAATTTGGTAAATATGTCAATAAAATATATATTAATTATTTAAAAAGTGGAATCGGAAATCGGGTCGAGACATGTATTTCCTATTTTTTAAGCACATATTCGACCCTATTAAAATTTTTGTCATTCATAATACAAAGATATGAAAATATAAATTTATAGAGATAAAAATAAAATTTATAGAATATAAATTTTAGAGAGAGAAATAAAAAGATTTAGAAAGAAAAGAGTGAAAGAAAAGTTAAAAGAGAAAAATAGTAAAAGAGTAAAGTTCAGAATAAAAGAAAACAAAATTATCAAGAAAAAGAAAAATTACATGAGAAAAAGTTTAGGGATAAAATTAAAATTCAAAATTTACAAATAAATAAAATTGAACGACAAAATAATTTTATTTGTAAGATGAAAAATAGACTAGGAAGAGAAAAGAGGTGGGGTTTCAACTTTGAAACGTGTTATTATTTATACTGCCATGAATGAGCTCCCCAGTGAAAATTTTGACTTTTTTGACCCTCCAAATATAGTTGCAAGGTAGGCCATCTGAAATTAATGTTTACAAATATGGTAATTGACATATATCTCCAACTAATAGATTGTTAAGTTGATCTCACCCCATATATCATACTAAACAAATAATAAGAAAAAAATCATAACCGTAATATATCATATTAACTAAATAATAAGTGCAATTATTTCCATCGGGGAGGGGGGATTTGATATCCAAGATCAAGGATTCAATGGAGAAAACACCAGAATTAAACAAACGTAGACCCAGTTGCAAGAGAAAAATCTAAGGCGAAATTATTGATCAAATTTATAAGGTTAACCCACGCCAAGACTTCTCTGTCACTTTAAGTTCCTGCAGAAACCAAGCCAAGGCAGCGCAAAGCTGTCAAGTCCAAAGACTTTTCAAAATGGAAAATAATGCGTATAAGAATGTTTTTTGAATGATTTTTATAGTGTTTTTTATTGGAACATTTTATAAGAACTAAAATGGTGGCTCTCTTCTTCATTATTATATTGCATCTTTGTTCTTACCAGGTTTCAACTACTTCCTCCTGTATTGAAGAGGAGAGGGAAGCGCTTTTGAAGTTGAAAGCTAGTTTTAGTGATTCTTCAAAACGGTTGGCTTCTTGGGAAGGAATTGATTGTTGCAGTTGGGATGGAGTGGGCTGCAATCAGAGCAATGGCCATGTTGTCAAACTTGATCTTCGAAATTATGATGAGTACAACTTTCACTCTCATTTGGTTATCAATGGAATTGACTCTAGTTTGTTTGAGTTGAAATATTTGAACTACTTGGATTTAAGCACAAATTGTTTCAATTTCACTCAGATTCCTGATTATTTCTCATCCATGCTTGAGTTGAGATATCTTAATCTTTCCTGTACATGTTTTTATGGAGAAATTCCTCCTTCTTTGGGAAACCTAACTAAATTGCTGGTTCTTGATTTCAAGATCAACGAGTATTTGGATGGCCCCAGTTATTTTGAGACAACACAATTGTTTATCGATGACGGTGGATGGATTTCTAGCCTTTCGTCGTCTTTGGAATACCTTGATTTGAGTGGGGTGAAACTTAAAAGTAATTTGAATTTGGTGCAGGTGTTGAACAAACTTCCTTCCTTATTGTCATTGAAATTGAGGAGGTGTGACATTCAAAATACCCAATCATATATATATCCTCCTTTAAATTCTTCGTTTATTTCCAAACTTCAACATTTAGATTTGGCGTATAATAGGTTTGGTGGTCCAATTCCTAACTTTTTTCAAAACATGACTTCTTTGAGATTCTTGTACCTTTTAGATAATCGGTTCAACTCTTCGATCCCACTTTGGTTTGGTAATCTTAGGAACTTTGTTGCTCTGAGCCTTGGATCCAACTTGTTTACTAGTGTTGAAGGTGGATTGTTCTCGATCATTAGAAACAATTGCCACCTGAAACAATTAGATCTATCAAATAACCAATTTCTTCGTGGAGATGATGTATTTGGAAGCCATGGGAATTTATCTGCAAGCTGTAAAGACTATGATTTGGAACTACTAGACCTGAGAAACATTACATCCGGGATATATCCAATTCCAAATTGGCTGGGACAGTTAAAAAACTTGAAATTTCTTTATCTTAACAATAATTCACTTCATGGTCCAATTCCTGCTTCACTTGGAAATTTGTCCAATCTTGAATACTTGGATATTTCTTACAACTTGCTTAGTGGAGGAATTCCAACTTCATTTGGAAAATTATCCAACTTAAGGACATTGACTCTTCGAGATAATCTTTTATCTGGGATTCCAAAAAGTTTTGGGCAGCTCCAAAGTCTGGTGGACTTGGACCTTTCGGAGAATGCCCTCGAAGGTATTGTTTCAGAAGTCCACTTTGCTAATCTTTCTCAACTGAAATACTTACGTATGACAGAAAATAGCCTCCTGTCTTTTGAAATGAAACATAATTGGATCCCTCCATTTCAACTGAAGTATTTTTTTGTGGGATCAACGAAGGGCTTTGGATCAACCGAATTCCCTGGGTGGCTTGAGACACAACAAGAAATGTTGGAGCTAGACTTGTCCAACACTAGCATTTCAGGACATATACCAACATGGTTAAGTCCGAAAAGTATGTCTATTCTTGATCTTTCCTACAATCAAATCAGTGGATCACTTCCAGAGAGCATTGGTGACCAAATGCCCAATCTGGTTGGATTATTTATTTCTAACACCAAAATCAATGGTTCATTGCCACTGTCCCTTTGCAAATTGCATCCACTGTTTTTGATACTTTCAGATAATGAACTTTCTGGGACAATTCCTAATTGTTTGCTGGATAATCAGTACTTGAATCATTTGGATTTATCATCAAACAAGTTGTCAGGAGTGTTTCCAAGTTCATTGACCAATCTTTTCCAACTTGAAGTGTTGCGCTTAGGGAACAACAAACTTGAAGGAGAGCCACTGGTTGGCATGAGAAGTTGGGTGCGTTTGTGTATTGTGGATCTCGAGGGAAACAAATTCTCTGGCATTGTTCCTTCGTGGCTGGGTGAGACCCATGGAGATTTACAAATTTTGAATCTTCGTGGCAATATGTTCAATGGCACCATTCCTTCAACTCTGTGGCTGCTGCCTCACTTGCAAATTTTGATTCTTGCGGATAACAAACTAGTGGGAAACATCCCACCTAATGTGGGCAATTTTTGTGCAATCTCAAGGCCAATACACCTTCAATTGTTATGTGAATCTACAGATTCATATAAACGTTGTCATGTAAACTACGTCAGACTAGCCATGAAATCAAGCAACTTGAACTATTCGTATTTACGATTGTATTCAATGGTGAATATAGACTTCTCCAATAACAACTTGTATGGAGAAATTCCAAGCGGAATAACAGCCATAAAAGGCTTGGTTGGATTAAATTTGTCGCGTAATAATCTGTTGGGGACAATTCCTGTGGAGATTGCAAAAGCAGAATCGCTAGAGTCTCTTGATCTCTCTTTCAATCAACTTTCTGGGTCAATTCCAAACAACATGTCGGGCTTAAATTCGCTAGGGACGTTAAAGTTGTCCAACAACAATCTCTCTGGACGCATTCCTCGAGAAGGTCATCTCTCAACCTTCAACGATGCATCCAGTTTTGCAGGTAATACATTTCTTTGTGGAGATCCGCTCTCTGTTAAATGCCCAAATGAAAATTCAGGCAAGCCTCCAGGTGAAATCGATAATTTTGATGATTATGGTAGCCATGAAGAAGGAGATAAGTATGAGAAAATGTGGTTTTACATTATCATAATGCTGGGATATGCTTTGGGATTTTGGGGAGTTGTTGGAGCTTTAATATTGAAGAGAAGTTGGAGACATGCTTATTTCCATTTCATGGATGAAATGAAAGACAAGATCTGCGTTGCAACATTGGTGAATATGACAAGGCTGAAACAACAGATTCCATCAGTGAAGAGTTGAAGGATTTAGAACTTATATTTTACGTGATAGTTTGTGTTCTAAGTGATAAGTTTGTTTTGTTGTCCTTTGTTAATCTGTTAGTACTTGCCACTTTGGCTGGATCTGGATATGTATTGATATTTGTGTTTGTACTCTTCTGAATTTAAGTTAATTAGAATCTCTCTCAATAGTCAATGTTGGTGAAATTTGTGAACCTTTGAACTTACTTCTTCTCAATCTTTTATCCTACATTCTTTTGGATCAATGAGTTACCTATGATGATTATTGAAAGGGTCTTAACACTCAAATTATCTTGAAAAGAATCAATAGTTTGGATAAAATTATGTTCATCTAACTAGTTCTATTTCATAATTAGGGTTCACTTCATGTAACTAGTATGCAATTAAGAATCTGATTTTTATTTTCAAATTCAGTGATTATCTATTTGATAATTTTTTAAATTTTTTTGTAATCTAAARGGTGAAAATAGTGAAAATAACATTTTAATGTTCTTAATGTTATTTTAAATAATAATTATATAAAACTTATAATAGAAAATATGCTGATAAATTAATTAACAATATGTGAGATTTAACTAAAAGATTTAGTTGATAATTACCATTATTTTATTGTTTATGAATATATTAACTAAACACACATTTTGAACAACTTTTTAAACTGAATTGGATCCAACTCTTCAATATGCTACCAAACATAGGCCCACAAACACATAAAACATTCAACTCTACTCTGAATTGAATCTCTTGTTTTGAAATTTTTATTTTCAGATCAATAATTAAATTTATCCTAAAACTTTCAACTTTTTGTTTTCAAGTCATTGACCAAATTCATCCTTTATAAAATAACCACAGCGATGTTGTCATTTCACCTTTTTTTTTTTTTTATAAATTTATTTATAACTTCTGACATGTTTCAAAAGCTCCGATTACTTTCCAATAAACTCTATAGACAATTATCACATACATTATTATCCTTCTTCTTAAGATATATGTGAGTTCCGAGTCACATATTAGGCCTATAGCAAATAACAAGAAAAGAAAAAGGAATTAAATTGGATCCCATTTATTCAATTTGTCCCCACTTGAACATTTGTGATCATGATGCAAAAATCATGGAATATAAATAGAGTTTCCAAATCAATTAAAAAATCAATCAAAGCCCTCTGGGTATTAATTTCCTAAATTATTCAACACGGTTTAGGAATATAATGTTTAATAGCATTTAAATCCCCAACAAAACTCAATAATTATTTGTTCATTAAAATCAAATCAAAACCAAGACCCTAATTTTTCTCCCTATAAACACACTATAACATCATCCTAGCTCTAATTCTTCATAATCTTATTATCATGAAGATTATTTACAGGCTCCATTTTTTGTGTTTCATCTTTTTAGTTTTGTGCATCTGTGGCAGCTCCATCAACGGCTCTCCTTCACCGCCTACACGGCGTCGTTTCACGGCTGTTTCGGAGTTTCTGAGGAGCAAAGACGGCGCCAAGTTCACCGTTTCTCGTATTCTTGTTCCGGGAGGACCAGACCCACTTCATCATTGACGCGACGTCGTTTTTGTGTTTTCTTTTTTCTTTTTCTTTATTTTATTATTGTTAGAAATATGAGATTCAGACAAGACTATTTTATTACAGCTCTTGATCTCAAGGTTGTTCACTCAATCAGAATTCAGAATGTGTATCGAAATTAAATTTTAGGATATTGTGATTTGAGTTTATTGTAAGGTTTGATTTTTAATTAATATTTAAATAAAATGTGTTGCTCACTTTAACCATGAATGATATAGAGAGTAAATGATTTACAAGTCTAATGGAAGAAAAATGACTAACCTTGCATTGGAGTGATCCTGTAGTCGAGAAGGGGTTTAGAAGTGCCTCAACTATATCTTATGAATTTCATTCATTTCGGACTGGAAACTATTTTAGGAGAAGTTCGAATCCATTTCGTTCGGATATTGATCGGTCTTGCCTCTTTGTTTGAAGCTTTTGCCAGGAAGTGGTTGACTTGTTGAAGTTTTGCTTCCCCTAATTCGGGTGGACACATGGATTTTTATACCATGTCTGCTGATATCTATATTTAAAAAATATCCATTCATTAGAATCGGTGGGATGCTGTAGCTTTAAGAGATAATTCGTTGAATTATCTATTTTTTTAGTCTATTGCATTTTTCAATAGGTACTAATCTTTTATTTGGAAAAAAATATTGTTAATATTTTGAAGTTTTATATTTAACATTAATATGTGTCTTGCAAAATAACGTACAAAAATTAAAATAGGCAAATTATGTTAAATTAATATATAAATTATATGAATATTCGTAAGGGCATTTTGGTACATTACATAAATTTATAACATTCTGGACAACCTTATAAAATTACATACATGACAAACGTGGTTATCTAAAAATGTCAGACATCTAAAATTTTGGGCATATGAAAATTCCAGACATTTGAAGATATCAGACATCTACATCCTCGAAAAGCAAACGACCCCTATACCTATAATGTATCTTGAAATTTGTAGTATTTATAGACTTAATCAATCAATTTAATTTTAGATTGAAAATAGTTGATAAATTTTTTTTTTGTCAATTGTTAAGTTAATTTAATGCAAATTATATTTATATAATACAAGTTTCAACCTAAAGAAAGTAGTTTGATATCTTATCGGATTGACTAATACAATTTACATTTAGACATGAATAATTGTTAAATTTTATATTTCATTTTGGAGGTTAATAAGCATCTTATCTATTAAGCTAAATCCAAATTAACTTATATTTCAAATTTTAAATGGTATATATAAGTGGTATAAGAGAACAAGAAGGAAATTATTCAAGGAATAAAGAGATTTAGAAAACAAATTTGAAAATTAATGGTAGTTTAAAATTTGATGGAAAAAAATCTGATATTTTTTAAAATTTAAATTCTTGATATCATAACATGAAACATCAACTAACTTACTTTTTTTAGCGTAACAATTCTTGTTTATTTAGGTGGAAAATTCAAACTTAGAACCTTTTGTTATCTCTGGTATCAATTAATGAACTTAGTTCATGTTAAGTTTCAAAATTTTTCTTTAAAATAGGATTTAAATCAAGTGTCATAATTCCTCTATTATATATATATATATATGAAAGTGCAATAATTCCTTTTTTTTTCTTTTCATGAAACAAGTAATAATTCCTCTTAAATCTGACCAAACCCACCATAAAGTCTAAATAAAAGATATTATTTAAATGATTTTAACTATCATTTAATTTGCAGACTTGAAGCATAGTTCAAACCATACTCACAACTTTAAGCAAAAATCTCGATAATTTTAAAAGGAGTGTGCCTAGCGAAATATGCTCACAACAAGATATAATTTTTATTTTTTGTTATACAAAATTTCCTCTCAAACATTAAAAAGGAATTCTCTTAAATAAGTTCTCTCTGCCTAAAAAAAATATATAAATAATAAACATTCTTTTGGTTTTTTTTTTTAGTTAAGTTGAACAATATTTCGAGAGTTAAGCTTTCCATTTTTTACTTGGTCTTGACTAGGGGTAAGAATTGGTACCGAATCAATCCGATATGTGATGAAATAACTGAACTGATTCGAACCGAAAAATATTCAGTTCGATTTTTGGTTTTCAATAAAATCGAGTTTTTTTTTTCACCCGACCTAAAACAGCGTCGTCGCCATAAAAGTCTACTTCCCTTGAATTGAAGGCGAACCCCTCCAGATCACTTCCATCGAAAATCCACTTACTAATTTTATGTCCACATTATTGGTATTTTTTATATTTCTTGATTTTTTTCACCACATTGTTAATGTTGAACCTATGAATATATAAAAAATGTTGACATTAATTTTTTTTAGTACAACATGTGGAGATAGGGGTCGAACTTACAACATCTTAGTTAGATATATACACCAATTATCGTAGAGTTACGCTTGCTCTAATGACATTAAAATATATATATTTTTTAATATAACATGTGGCGGTGGAGAATCGAACTCACAACCTCATAATTAGAGGTACATATTAATTACTGCTCATTCTGCTGGATTTGGCCCAGTGACATTAAAATTAATACCCCGTTACAACCAACTAAAAAACATATATTTTAAATTTATTAAAAGCAAAAGCTTATGACACTTATGTGTGACCGAAATATATAGTAAGTTCGAAATTGAGATGATTTCTCAATGAAACAAAAAGGGAAAAAAATGTGCGGTGGAGATGGTACAAATTATTTAACGATAGCCATTGATCAAAGAGCTTAGGTTAGGTAGAAGCAGGAAAAAGCTGTTTACCTTTTCCTCTCGGATTCCTCCTCAGTCTCTCTAATCGCCATGGCTCTGCAAGTATGGGAGACGCTGAAGGAGGCGATCGTGGCCTACACAGGCCTCTCTCCCACCACTTTCTTCACAGTATTGGCTCTTGGCCTTGCAATTTACTATGTGATTTCTGGTTTCTTTGCTTCCTCCGACGCCGGATCCCGCTCTAGGGATATTGGGGAGCCGCTGCAGCCTCTGCCTCCGCCGGTTCAGCTCGGTGAGATTTCTGAGGAAGAGTTGAAGCAATACGACGGCTCCGATCCCAACAAGCCTCTTCTCATGGCTATCAAGGGCCAGATCTACGATGTATCTCAGAGCAGGTCTGTTGAGGGGTTTTCCTCTTTTTTTTTTTCCATAAAATTTCTCTCTGTTTTCGGATGATTTGTGGTTGGAAAATCATTGTGAAGTCAACGGCGGATTTTGGCTTCTCTGATCTGTGAAATCAGTCGTAGGTCAGCTGGCCTTAGGTTAACAGAAGTTTTTTCTCTTTGAACTTTGGGATTAATTAATCTAATACTCTGTATTGCCCACTGGCCACTACAGCTCTCCTTTGCAATTTGAAACTTGTTTTGGTCCTTCTGTGTTGAAACACTACCGATTTTTTTTGGGGGCTGTTTACAGATTCTCTCTTGTTTTCTGTTCTCGTGCTAATAGCCATCCATTGTCTGTTTGATGCAAATTATACTGAAAGAAGATTATTAATAGTTTCTGTACAAATTTTTTGGTTCTTTCATAGCATATATAACTAGGGGTGCAAACTGAAACCCGAATTCATTTCGGCTTAGATAGATACTAAGATGTTCAATGTTTGTGAGAATATTATGTTCCAAGAACCAAATAAGAAACTTCTTTGTTTTTGTGTTCTGTTGTTCAGTCCAAACTTTTTTGAGTATCTCTAAGTAGATTAGTGAGTTTAACATTTCATTCTTATTTGTCTGAATTTGAACCTTGATGTTTCTTTGTTCCTTCTTATAGCTGTAATTTGTAATGTATCTAGCTTTCAATATATTTATAAGGACCTGTCTATTGCTTTTTCCATTTAGATTACAGCCATGGTGTTTCGAGGATATAGAATTTGCATAGCATATGTAGTTCACAGAAGCAAGAGTTTTGTGTTTGTAAAGGGACCATAGACCAATTCCCCTTTTATTGGGATCGGAGAAGTTACTTGTAAATGTAAAATCACTCTTTACAAGCTCATGATTTTGGAAGAGAAAACAACGAGGAACTTTTTTTTTTTTCATTATGTGCTAAAAAGTAGAATTTTGCTTTTGTCCATAAACTTAAAGCAACAGTCCTCTTCTTTTATGATTTCTAATTTAAACACTTTAAAAAGTATATTTTTCTTTCTTTTATAAAAATGATTTTAGTTCAGACACTTGTTTTTTGAGTTATGTTTTCTTCACAGAAATTTTCCTCACAAGTTTGTTTGGTTGCACCATATCTAAAACTGATTATACAAATTCCAAATTATCATAAAATGATTCTACAAGTGATTTAAAACCAATTTAATCGTTTCAAAAGTGATTTTTTTGTTTTGTTTCCTAACACTCTAAATTATTTAAAGCGCACATGAAGTTAAACAAAACACACACCCTAAGTATACTTTTAGACCTGACATTCAAATTTATGTGATATTCTTTG